TTAGATCTCAACACGTCTAGACAAAAATTTTATCACAGCTTGAAAGAGCATCACAAAATTAGTAATATTCCAAAGTTTCATTGCGAAATGTTGTAAAATGCGGATAATATAGCCTTGCGAAGTTTGCCATTTTCAGTCATTTTGTATTACGCGCGGGAAATACATACCTCCTTCGGAAAAAGGGTATGTATTTTCCGTCTGTAATACAAAATGACTGAAAATTGCAAACTTCGCAAGGCTATATTATCCGCATTTTACAACATTTCGCAACGAAACTTCGGAATATTACTAATTTTGTGATGCTGTTTCAAGCTGTGATAAAATTTTTGTCTAGACTTGTTGAAATCAAAATTTTAGTCAAAAGGTGAAAGGTCCATTGCGTATAATACACGCGATTTCTTCTCTCGCGCCGGTAACGCAATGAAATATGCCGCCGCCAGAAAAAATCGCACATGTAAACTAGGCTAAATTATTCCCCCGGAAATACGAAATCTTGACAGACACAAGATCGAGGCATAGATTAGGAGCCATGCAAAATTTATTGTACCCCCGGGCAGGAGCAAATCAATTTTTAATGTAAAAAAAAGAAAGCCTCGTTTAGGTTGGTGTGATAAAAATTTCCAGCCCCGCCCGGAACTTTGCTAAAAAAGTTGCTGCCCCGCACTACTATCAGTAAGGGACCGGTCATTACTTATGACCGGGGTGCATGGGTCTGAAAATTAAGGTCCAAAATTGCCCTTGATGAGTGTAAGATCATCTGCTAGAGCTAGCTGTTAGAGAGTAAATAATAATATGGAGTGCTTTGACCACAGTGGCCATTATAATTAAAATGGAACGGGATTGATTGGTAAACATACGTGTTTAAAACCTCAACATCCAATATCCTTGTTTTCTTGTGGAGTAATTAAAACACATTAACAGTCATGTGGGCCACGTTAGTTAGCATTGTGCCTTATTATGGGTTACCTCTACAATTGCAAGGTACTATTATAAATATCGGTTATCTGAAGGCTTGGAAATTTGTCTGCTGAAAATAAGACTTGTCATTTGTGTAGTATCTTTCCTTTCAATGGAAATGCAAATTCATAATCAGAAATAATAATTTATCTTATAAGATGGGCCCATAGGGAAATGCCAATAGAATTAAAGGATTTTAACATTTCTGGAGATTCAACTAGATGGAAGTTATATTGCTCACTCATATTAAGACTGCAGGCATGCACTCTGACCGCTCAAGCAACTACGCTGAACGAATAAAATTTGCAAGTTATGGGGGTTGGATCAATGAATGCTAAAATCTTGGGATACTTCGCTATTTTACTTCTCAAATTTTTCCATACTTGTTAAATTGAAATATGATTGGTTTTTTATAGTTTGTAGTCAAAGCTATATGCCCTCTTCACGAGATATTGCTAGTCCCATAAACATATATTAACCATATTAATTATATAAAACCTGTATATTAAAGTATATATTTCAAGATTTTAAAACACTAACCATATCTCACCACCTAATCTCTTTCCCACTTTAAAGTTTCACTGTATACAATTTGGTTTCTTTCACATTCTTGCATTTCTTTATTAATTAAAATGCAATTTTATTTTGAAACAGTGTTACAGAATATGTTCATGTAGCTATCTATGATTGTAACCATCTAAATTATAAATTTTCCTCTGAAATTCCTTAAAACTTTCCTTTCCATAGACAATCACATGTAATTATCACGGAATTTTAAAGGAATTTCTTAAGAATTCCAATTCCAATGGAATTCTTAAAGTTTATGAAACAATTTAATATTCTAATTTGTAAACAATACAACAATACTAAAGTATATGTCCCATGTGAGAATATCTGAATTTAGGAAATGATGTTACTGTTAATTAATGAGAAAAAGTTGCTGTTATACAGGGTGAGTAAAAAAAACTGATACCTTTGATATTCAAACTATAACAAAGGTGTCAGTTTTTTTTTACTCACCCTGTACAGTGTCAAGATAAAAAATACTTCATCTGAATTCCAAGTACTATTATATAAACAATTAAATTAATGTGTAAAACGCGTAAATTAATAGATTTCTCTTATTTTATCCATGTATATTAAATGGTCTGTTAATAAAGAAAAACAGCTAGTTGCCAAAGACTCGGAACAATGTTTGAGCTGAAGGTATATGAACTAACCACTGGAATGATACTCCAGATTCATGAGGGGCATGAGGCATATTTCAGGATTTACCACCTAAATGGCCCACATGGTTTACAAGCATATACCGAATATTAGTATATATCAAGTGTATGGATGCCCAAAATTAAATCCTGAAAATTTAATAGACTGTATATATATATATATATATATATATATATATATATATATATATATATATATATATATATATATATATATATATATATATATATATATATATTGAGATATGTAATAAGGGGATGTTTATATGGGGGCGAGCCTGTATGGATACCCGGGCTACTGTAGGTCACTTTTCCTTAGGCAAATTTTGGCCCAGTTTTAGCAAGATCTTGGGCTAAAGGGGCAGGATCTTGCTTAGGTGGGCCTGCTCCTTACCCATATATACACAAGGTGATATTTAAATTAATAGAAAATAACAACAAAGGCAGGATCTCGCCAAAACTGGGCCAGCTTGGGTATACCCCAGGGCTGGTTTGCACCATATAAACAGCCCCTATATATTAGGTGGTGTATGTTTTGTCTGATAATTGCAGTCTTCGGAGATTTTGTGTGTAAATGAATAAAATGACCCCTTAGGAAGTATACATCCCTAAAAGAAGTTTGTACAACTGTGGCTTGCTGTAGAGTTGCTTACCATGTTCAGCTAGACGAAATCGCTGAAATGTGTGGGAGGTCTGACACTGCGACCCCTGAGGGGGTTGGCCTCTCACTTGTAGTTATTTGATCACCTTGCAAGGCAGAAAAAAATCTGTGTGCCCCGCTTCTATGCAGCTGGAAAAAGTATGTGCCCCGTCCCCTTTTGCTTCGGTCCCGTATAAAATAAATGTTGCTTGGGTCCTTAAGTATGTACAAATGTGTAACTTCAGTAAAAAACGTTGTGCCACGGTCGCCACTTTCCTAGCAGGTGTCGCTCGCGTGATAATTCGTCATTTGGTAATACGTCTTACTTTCAAAAATGCTTTCAACACCTTTTCAACAACTTTAATTGCTCTCAACAACTTTAAACATTCAACATTGATTGTTAAATCCAAAAATTTCCATCCAAAAAGGCCGCAATAAAGTGCAAAATTTCGTGTTTTTCAGGACGCCATTTTGCTAGCAAGTGTCATGGCGTGAGCATGACGTGTTCATCTAGGGAAATTTGAGGACACGCATCTGGTATATTCTTAATCTGTGATTGGGGTCTCGACAATACATAGATCGTGCGAAAGACTGGATCGAGTGAACTCTGGAGAAACCATAGCACGTAAAGAATAGTGTGCTGCCGAGCGTCGGATGATATATCATTTATAGTACGCGAGCGTTGATTAGTCGAAAAACGTGTTTCTATAACTGTATGGAAACAAGGGAACGTTTCCGTCTCGCAGCATTGATTTTTAAAAGGTAAACAAAACAATTTTTACACGCGCTGTATAGTCCAGCGGATATGCACAGATATTTGAGAAAATTATGCACTTTGTGAAGAAAGCATCAAATTCACAGGAAGTGTAGACTTTAAATGATAATAAATCTTAGATATGGAGGCATCACCAAAATTGATGCTGACGGCTTAAAATTTACGATTTCTTATATTCTCTTATTAATCTCTTATAGAATTAAAATATAGCAAAAGCATAAAATATAGCATAACATATAGCACATATAGCAAAAATGACATGCGTCATTAGAAAGCTTACAAAAAACTGCATCTAAGACATAAGCAGTTACTTTGATTTTCCAACCCCTCTGGAGTTATGAGCGGTTGAAAATATGTTTTAGGGCTAGTGCCCAGGACTTTGGCGGGATTTTTGCCTATTTATCAAGTTTTTAAATAGCAACAACTGGAAAACCGCTTGGAAAATCAATCAGCCGTTTAAAAATCTTATATGTAGTTTTTTGTAAGCTTTCTAATCATGCAAGTCATTTTTGCTATATGTGAATCTGCAATTTCACAATTTTAAACAGTAATAGAGTTTAATAAGAGAATATAAGAAATCGTAAATTTTAAGCCGTCAGCATCAATTTTGGTGATGCCTCCATATCTAAGATTCATTATCATGTTAAAGTCTACACTTCCTGTGAATTGGGTGCTTTCTTCACAAAGTGCATGATTTTTTTACTTTTCCGCTGGACTAGTAATCGAAAAAACTATGTTGAAAGACTACTTTTCATACCAAATTAAGGAAGCACAAGACAAAACATTTTCCGTCCTGTGTTTCCATACAGTTATGGAAACACTGGTAATAGTTTGGGAGAAATCGAAATGACGTACGTGGAAAAACTCGCCATTTGGATAACGAGAAATAATCATTGGGAAAACACAAACTCCAACGCGTGGTTCTATAGCTGACTGTGTAGAAACACGGAAAATGTTTTCTATTTAATTTCTTAATATAGTATCCCGTATTAAAAGGAGAAAAATCCCACTGTATTTAAATTTTTTTGCAATGCGGAACTGCTTGGGAATTTATCCTAAAAATGGTCTCGTTTTCGGCGCTGCCCAAATATAATTGCATGCTGTTCTATATCCCTTTCGTTGCCGATACAGTAAGATCGACATTATAGTTTTGATATAGTGAACCTCTTGTACATGTATTATATTTAGCATACTGTTTAATTTAGGGAAGACATCTGCGGATTTTAGAGAGATACATAAAAGTACCTGAAAAATACAAGCAGAACTTTGCTCGAAACGTCGAGGTTTTGCTTGTGTTTTTCAGGCAGTTATTATCTCTCTGAAACCCGCAGCTCTCTTGTTATCATCGCTACCTACACTGGCACAAACCGTTCTTGTATAATTTAGGATCATATGGTTTGTTCTCGTTGTTAGATGTTACAAGACTCATGCATGGTATCCTTCGTGTCCCAAGGGTGCATCAAAATACATTGTTATTTACCGTGAACCATGTGCTGCATTCTACAGTCACTTCAACTTCTTCAAGGGTTGGTTATTTCAACCAGGGAAAGTTTTACTTGACGAATTTGTAAAGGATTATCTACTTGCTCTTGGAATACCAAAAAAGAAGATGATATTTGCGTCCTTTTTTGTCCACTTGCTCAGCTGGTGGGAACACAGGAATGACTCGAATGTTTTATTTCTGTTCTTTGAGGATATGAAAGACGATTTAGAAAGTGTAGTTAGGATGGTTGCAGCATTCATAGGAATTCAAGATGAGGAAAGGATTAAGAAGGCTGTGAACATGAGCTCCTTTGAATTTATGAAGAAAAATGAGAGAAAGTTTTCAAATGTTCGTCTCGCACGTTGTCGGAATAAAAGTTGTGGGATACCTGATGATGTTGTAGCCAGTAAGGTTGTCACGGGATCTGCAACGGAAGGACGAGAGTTGATGGATGACAAAACTAAAGAAATTATTCAGGCACAGTGGCTGGAAGTCGTTGGGAAACAAACTGGATTTCAGGATTACAATGAGTTGAGAAGTGCATTCAAAAAGGAACAGATGAATAATATTTAAGATATTTGAAATTAGAGAGATACAGGTTTGACTTCCACTACCGCTATCACTACCTTTAAGGCATCATTAACCAATCAGATGGGTCTGATTATTTCAATTAATCAACCAGATGCGTAACTACCAAGCCCGTGTGAGGTAGTGGTAGTGGAAATCAAATCTGAAATTCGTTATTTACGTTATTCAACAGAACATTGTAAAATAATTATGGGAAGCCAAATTACAGAGTTCGGACAGAGTTCTACCGTTTTGGCAAGAACATAGACTTTCAGCTGGCAGGATGACAGCCGAAATGAATTATTGAAGACCTAGAAATTTAGACGTCATTCTCGCACTTTTTTAAGCTTTGTTTACGCGCTACGATTTGTCGTGTGCGATTCGTATTCTGGCGTATGTAATCGAATAGGCACGCGTAAAGTGGTTGCATTTCAAATTTCGCCATAATCTGAATAAAGAGGAATTGTGGCGTCAGCAATAAATTACATACGCCAGAATACGAATCGTACACGACAAATCGCAGTGTGTAAACGTAGCTTTAGCGAAGCAATAGGCAAACGCCTTTCATCAATTAAACAATTTTATTACGCATTTCTTTGCGCCGTCCGCATTTTATTATTTTGTCCGGATAATCAATCGACAAAACGAAACTTCATGCAGCTATAAATACTAATATTTAATCTGCATGGATTATACCAAACAAAGGGGTTATTTTGGAAAGCTTGAAAAAGTCGTTTTGTAGTGGATATAGTGCCCAAGCGTACGCGAAAAGCCATGGAAATTCGGAAAATAGTATCAGGGGGAAATGATGGAAATCAGGCAGATTTATCGGAAAATATTTCGAATTCAGGTTATTGCATTACAGTCCTAAATAAAAACTGCCTCCCCCCCGAAAATCGAGAACCTCGTACGACGTACGCCCGATTTTTAAATTTAACTGTCAGGAGTTTTTACTCTTAGTTAGGTCGATGTATTTCGCAAACGTATTAAATTCGCCCCTAGCTAGTATTAAATTATCATCCTTTCAATTTCAAAGTTAGAAATGTCATCAACAAGAATTTCCAAATTTTGAAAAGCTACCCTGAAACATCTTCCATTTTCTCCGATAACCCCTGAGTCTCTTTTAGGCCTTGACCGATTGTGCTCGGCAACTTTTTGCTTTCGGAGCAACTTTTTTCACTTCGAGCAACATTTGCTTTTAAGAGCATTTTTTTAGCAAATTTTAGCAAAATTAAGCCAAAATCAATATTTTTGATTATAAAAACACTCTCTAATGTTTATTTCATGATGATTACCCACAGGACCCCCTCAAGTTACGACCGCGTGTTGCGGCAACCTCTTCCCAGGCTCTTTAGAGGAAAGAGCCTGGGAACGAAGTTGGTGTTGCGATTGATGGCCCTTAACTTAGTACTACGTACTTTGGTTCCCTGTGCATGTGTTCAAACATAAAAACAAAATGCTAATTAATTTGACGCATGGCCGAATCAGAACACCTAGACGAATCGTCCGACTTATCTGAAACAGAGACCGAATGTTACAGTTATTGTTTTATAGTAAAGTTGTTTTTTTTTAAATATGTTGATGCGAACGATTTATTAAAAACTTTTTCATGTTCAAATTTCAAGAAATTTATCTTGACTCTTGAGAGGTATTATTTGGCAATTATTTAAAAATATAGACCCTTTTAATTAAGTTTGGGATTTTACGAGCACAGTCGGTCAAGGCCCAGTCTCTTTTCGACAAAGCAAAAATATCCGTGAAACCCTAGTCCATAGCTCCCTAGCACAGGCTTCGGCGTCACAGAAAGGCACTTTTCCTTGCCTGTCGTCGACATGTAAAACCTGTGATTTTGTAGATTCTGCCACTATTGTTTCGGCACCTAAATCTGAATATCATCACATCAAGCACCATTTCACGTGCGCCTCCTCCCATCTCATCTACTGCATCTCTTGCAGCAGATGTGGCATGCTTTACATTGGGGAAACTGGAAGATGTTTAAAGGAGAAGGTTTGGTGAGCATCGGCGTGCAGGTATTGGCAATGATGCTAACCAACCTGTTGCCAGACATTTTATTAATGGCAATCACAGTTTTTCGGATATGGTAATATAATTCGAGCCCTCTGTCCCATTACTGGAAGCAACGATAGCCGGAAACGACATGAAATGCGCCTCATATCCAAACTTGGCACTGTTCATGCACCCTTCTGGTATTAATGAACGCTTTTGCTATGTTTAATTCCATCTGTCCTTGCCTGTCTATAGCAGACATTGACAGCATTTATCTATTTATTACTTTTATTTCTTACCTTATTCCCATTTGTGTGTTGTTTTGATCAATTTTTATATTAATTGTCTTAGCTTCCTTTATATTTTTTGTTTTACATTATATTCTGTAATGCGATTTACATATTTTGTTTACACTTTGTTATGATTAAATCCATCTAATTGGTTTATTTTTTGTCACGTGATGCTTTCATACTCTTGGTATAAAAGCCCGTGCATTTTCCCCGATGCCTGCTACTAACACTTGACAAAGGGCCTTCGCTCGAAACGTCGAGTTTCTGCTTGTTTATTTCAGGTAGTAATATAACCACTCAGCACAGCAGTTTCACATTGGTACTACCCACACTGGTACAGACAGTTTTAGTATCTTTACTTGCATAGTAACTTCTAGTTTCAATTTAATTAAATTATTGCATAGTTTAATCTCGTAATCAATACTACTACTGTCTTGTGATCCATCGGTACGCGACGAATGTCGTAAGTATAAACATTATATTAACATCTCATACGATATATTAATCATCTGATGTGGCCGTTAGGTAACATCCCTTTCTATCTAGCGATTAATGTTACCAGATATTACCATACTAAATTATGTTTGCCCGCTGTCCCCGATAGGGATGGAATCGGTGGCTAGTTAAGATGCGCCTTAAGCAGGCAACATCATCAAGGATAATAATTCCTAGAAACCTTAGTCAACCAATGGTGCCTCCTCCAAATATACCTCCAACCAGTTATAAGGGTTGGAGAAAGGTAACCATTGGTGATACCTTCGCTTCATACTTGCGGCTCGTGTCTGAATGGTTGGTTGGTTTGGCGTGTGGGCGAAATTAATTTTATTAAAGACAGTTGCAGGCGCTTTATTTTTCCTTCGCCCGTTTTTCTAACCCGCCATTTATTCAAAAATCCTTAAAACCTTGGATAAAATAAAGCGACTGCTACGTAGGCTGGGTGTTGTGCCGCGTACCGCCAGATAATATTGAAGCGCTGCAACTGGACACACGCGTTCTCAACGGCAACCAATCAGCGTGAAGAATTTTCAACAATCACCTATGTAATTATACTATAAATGCGACTTAATGCGAATCATTGCGAAGAACGAAGGCATGCGAATAGCGATCACTGCGAAAACCGACATGCTGCGAATATAACATGAATATACATACATATGTATACATACTTATAATGCGAATTAATGCGACTCATTGCGAAGATGCCGACGGATGGCCACATTGCTGAGCTGATGTAGCCGATAAGCCCGGTAAACGTAGAGTAAATGGGCTCGTAGGTGGTGCCAAGACATACTGAGGAAAGGAAAGTGGACTCGAGACTGATGAGGAAGACAGACGGCGAATAGTGCGAATGGCGGACGAAACTAGCGAACTCGATGCAGCCGATAACAACCCCGAAACTGCCGAGGAAATAACAGCTGGGTTAAACGCTGAAGGAGTACTGATTGAAACCACAGGAATGCTCGTGGATGTCAGTGGTAGGTGGCGAGTTGGATTGTTCAGTCATTTTCTTTGTGAAATTTGCAACGAATTACACTGAAACTAACTTCGAGAAAAGCACTAAAAGAATGATAGGCCGTTTGCGGCGTCCCAATATCGTTTACTTTCATTTCCCATGTCTTGGAACTGAAATATTTTTACGGGAAACTGACACTTTCGAACACGCTTAGTTCAAATCCGAAAAGTTTCCACTCCGTAGACCGGCAGTTTTCTCACAAACTGCAATTTTATCTTCACTAATTTCACAACTACTTTTTTCATTGTTCAACGACACGGATCGATGACGACAAACGATTATGTCACTCAATGATTATGTCACTTTTGCTCGAATCATTCAGTTATGTAATATTATGCGTGTTGGACGTAAACCACATAACTTGTCTACAACTTTGGGAAGGTGCAGATAAAGCTTTCTAAAATCCTCAGTTCTGGCTCTATCTCTATAAAATCACAAGGACGTTAATGCTAAGTCTTTTGGCTATGTCTCTGGGCTGAGAAATAACTTTTTTAACGCGACCAAGGTATTTAAAACAAAAGTAACGCGAATCCAACGGAACGACAAAGACAACACTAAAATGAAATGTTGTCGATGGGTTGCTGGTAAAAGACTTTCAACAGGATCACTCTTAAATAATCTTAAACTGGAATAATAAATGTTCACATCAAAGACAAAGATCAGTGCCAAAGTATAAAATCTGCTCTGTAAACTTACGACGAAGTGGAGAAATGTGTTCATGAGCTGTTTATTTGGTGATTTGATGAAAACCCTCTTTCCAATAATACTCACTAATCGCACAGAATAACACCAACTGATATAATAGTTCAAATGCAATGATATATTACCTCTTGAATTACGTCTCAAAAACTGTGTTGGAAATTTAAATGCTGATCCATTACATAACATTACCGTTTTACATCATTGTATAAAACATTTTGATCGCATGTACGTAAGGAATTATTTCTCAGCCCTGAGACATAGCCAAAAGACTTAGCATTAACTTCCTTGTAATTTTGTAGAGATAGACCCAGAACTGAGGAATTTAGAAAGCTTTATTTGTACCTTCCCAAAGTTGTAGACAAGATATGTTATTTATGTCCAACACGCATAATATTACATAACTCAAAATGATTCCAGCAAAACCGGTCTTGTGTTAAAAGGAAGACTGGTTAATAGAAATTGGTCCTTTTGAGTGACATAATCGTATGTCATCATTGATCCGTGTCGTTGAGCAATGAAAAAATCTGTCGTGAAATTAGTGAAGATAAAATTGCAGTTTGTGAGAAAACTGCAGGTCTATAGAGCGGGAACTTTTCGGATTTGAACTCAGCTTGTTCAAAAGTGTTAGCTCCCGTAAAAATATTTCAGTTCCAAGACATGGGAAATGAAAATCGTTTTCTAGGCACTTTTCGACACGTTGTTTTTACCTAATATATTCATGTATTAAATAATCTACATATTCAAATTACCCTCTTAATTATCTGTTAACTTCCATTGATTGTGCCAATAATTATCACTTATTTACTGAGACCGAGGGAAACAGTGTGTTTTGTGGACCCGAGACCGTCGATGTTTCCCGAGGCGAAGCCGAGGGAAACATCGACGGTCGAGGGTCCACAAAACACACTGCTTTCCCGAGGTCTCAGTAAATAAGTGTTTTATTATATATCAATAGTCAAAGAAACAACAAATTAAAGAACAAATGAACGTAAATACAAGAAATATTTTATTGTTTAAAACGTTATATTAAACACTGGCTACACTGCAGCAGTTACTTAAAGCGAAAGTTTTAATTACGTGCTAGGCATGTCCAAAGGTCGCACCTTCACGTGATGGCGCACGTGATTTTTTTTGTTATTCGCCGGTGGATAACGTATTATCTCCCTCTCGCGCTGTTGCGAGGGAGACAGCCTAATTTCGTCACTCTCACGTGATATGCTTTCAACCAATAAAACACTAGAAAAATGCGACTTTGACTATTGATATATAATAATAACATTTAACCTCTCAGACTCAGCTTGCATCGAGTTTCGCGGTAATTTTCCTGAGAATGTTTTTTGAGACTCCTGCTGATGTAAGTAGTGCAGGGATGCAGCTCATGATGCAGAGATTATCTGTCCACACAACAGAAGAAGGAGTAAGTCGTGGTTTAAGTTTTAAACCTCGTTCAGACGACGTGTTCGTCGTGACTCCACGAAAATGCGGCACAACATGGATGCAACAGATTCTACATCAGTTACGTAGTGGTGGCGATATGTCATTCGATGATATTTGCGATGTTATCCCTTATATCGAGTTGGCTTATCATACCGAAATCGATCTCGACGCTGAGCACGCGTATCAACCACGGTAAGAATAAGATACTAAAATTCCACTGGCCGGTATTACATTTTGTATATGTTTGTACTACGTGCGGAAATTGTTACCATTTTCGGCTCAAAAATTGTTAGATAAAAAATTAGTCTAACATGCAAGTTGTCTATTGTTCATTACGCAATGTAGCTGGCCAACGTAATCACAGATACCACCGTCTAAGTAGGTCGATCGCGACATTTAATTCCATACACTTTACATTCTGTGTATGTATTATTTTTTTTAAGCTTAATTACATGTCTATATCTGGGGCCGATTGTTCTAAAGCCTTAAAATAAACAAACATGCAAAATACATAAAATACAATAGCAGGGTAAATTTTAACCGAGGGTTAGTGTTAATCCAGTTGTGAACACGACCGGCTTTGATCTGTGGCGAAGCAGCGAAGCCGGCTAGCTAAAATAGACACCTTAAGATTGACGTTTACGGCAAACGTCAAACCGCTAGCGAAGTTTTTGATTTTACAACTCTATTATTATAGCTTTTACACCAGTTTTGAAATATGTTAAACTTATTAAACTTGTGCTCTTTAGCAATGATTTAAGAAAGCAAATTAACCACTAGTCATGCCATTCACCAAAGCAGTAAATTAAGATTTGGCGTTTGAAGTTGACGTTTGGCGTATAAATTTCATGCTTTAACGACTACAAGCCCTCGTAGCAGTTCAAGCATGAAATTTATACGCCAAACG